AAACGGCTCAGTGCAGCAATCCGTCCCGTAAGTGTTTGCACTTCTTTAATTGTCGTCGGCTCGGCATTCTTAGTCAGAGCATCTGCTTGGGCAGGGCTTGCCTCGATGCCTCTGAGATTAACCACGTGCCCTAGGAATTGGCCTAAACTTACACCGAACGAGCACTTGGTCGGATTGAGCTTCATTCCATATCGCCTCAACACATCAAACACGTCTCGAAGATGCTGCACATGATCAGCTTTCTTCTTACTTTTGACCACCATATCATCAATGTAAGCCTCCACTGTCTTCCCTATTTGTTCCTTAAAAGTCTTGCTAATAAGTCTTTGATAAGTTGCTCTGGCGTTCTTCAGTCCGAATGGCATAACTTTGTAGCAATACGTCCCGCGTTCGGTAACGAAAGAAGTTTTTTCTTCATCAGCGGGGTCCATGGGGATCTGATTATAACCTGAATAAGCATCTAAAAAAGTCAAGCGTTCATATCCAGTAGTTGCATCCACCATTTGATCAATCTTTGGCAGCGGGAAGCTATCCTTCGGACAGGCTTTGTTTAAATTGGTAAAATCAATGCAGACGCGCCATTTCCCATTTTTCTTCTGCACAACGACCACATTCGATAGCCAGTCGGGGTAGTACACTTCTCTCACAAACCCCACATCAAGTAGCTTGTCAACCTCCTCGGCAATAATTCGGTTGCGCTCGGGGGCAAACCGTCGCTGCTTCTGCTTTACAGGTTTTGCATTGGGGTTAACGTTCAAGGAGTGACAAGATACCAAAGGATCGATCCCTAGCATGTTTAGGTGACTCCATGCAAACACATCTGCGTTTTGAGACAAAAAATCAACTAATTCCTGCTTTTCCTCCTCAACGAGTCGTTCCCCTACTCTGGTTGTCCGTTCCGGTCGGAACTGATCGATCTGCACATCAAACAGGGGTTCTTCAGTCAAGCCTACTGGTTCCTCCTCCCCATTCTGCTTGGAGGGAGGCTCCTGTAATTGCTATCTCGGACTTATTGAACAAATGGGAGCTTTCCCCTTTCCGGCATGTTTCAGCGTTACAGAGTAACATTCTTTAGCTGCAACTTAGTCTCCATGAATGTCAATCACTTTGGTTCCGTCTGGCCCCAGGCATCTCATTACCTGATGCAGAGTGGAAGGAACACCTTGAACTCTGTGGATCCACCCTCTGCCCATCAGAAGATTGTAAGAGGGATGAATTTCAACAACCACAAAGGTTTCCGTCAAAACCCTCTCAGCAGCATGTACCGCTACCTCCACCGTGCCGACGGGCTCCACTTGCTTTCCATCAAACCCTAATAGTGGATTCTCGGTGGATTTCAGCCGATCCTGTTTAATCTCGAGCCGATCAAATGTATCTCTTGGCATGATGTTCGCACTACTTCCAGGGTCAATTAGAACTCTGCGCACCAAGCATTTGGCCACTGTCAAACTTACGACCAGCGGGTCCTCATGAGGGATCTGAACACGCAACAAGTCTGTTACGTCAAACTTTATCTGCGTTGATGCGCTCTGTTGGTGCAGAGTGTTTACACTGCCTATCCTTCTCTTCATCCGTGCCTGGCGAAGGCTTGTTCGAAGCAGTTCATCTGATTCCTCGGCAGGTTCTGGCCGACCGTGAATTACATTAATTACGCGAACTGGTTGCGTGTTGTGAGAATTCGACTTCTGATTCCTCTTCATATGCTCCATTGGTCGGTTCTGCTCCACTGCTGGTCCTTGAATATAACTTGCGAACTCCCCTCTGGCTATCAGCATCTCTACCTGTCTCCTTAGGTTCCTGCATTCGTTAGTCTGGTGGCCAAAATCAGAATGAAATGCACAGTGCTTAGACTGATCCCTCTGTTCGAGAGGTTGTCTGATTGTTAAAGGAGGTCGGAACTTATCTTTATTTTCTTGGTATAGTCTCGCTAGGGTAACTTTCAATGGAGTAACCAACTCTTCCTCTCTGGGCCTCTTCTCAGATTTCCACGAGGAGCGTTGCGGCTGAACCTGTTTTTGCCTGATCTTTGCTTTGGTTTTTTCTTCCGTGGATATAACGGATGTCTTCCGAGCGTTTGCCGCCTCTTCTTCTTCCAAGCGCACAAATCCATCGGCTCTTTCGTTAAGTTCATCCATAGTCCTCGGCGTGTTCACCACCAAGCTTGTGTGGAATGGGGTGCCACGGTTCATGGCCAGTATGAATGCTTGAACTGCCGTTGAAGGGTGACATTCAATGACCATGCTCTTGGTAAGGTTAAACCTGGTTAGGAAAGCCTGGAGACGCTCTTCAGCATGTTGCTTCATTGTGAATAGGCTCGAAATATCTTTCGTTGGACGCTTGTTTCCATAGTATTGGCTTATGAACCAATCACACAAGCTTCGAAAACTATCCACTGAACCCCTCGGCAGGTTCTTGAACCAATTCAGAGCTGGTCCGGCCAGACTCGTAGGAAAGCACTTGCACATCAAAGAGTCATTCTCAGTGTTTAGAGCCATTTTCAGCTGGATGTGATACACGTGATCGATCGGATCAGTCGTTCCGTCGAACAGAATGAAAACGGGCATGGAAAATTTCCTCGGACTCGGAGCATTCAGAATCTCATCGGTGAACGGTGAATCAACCGTTCGAGCTGCTGAACGGAGTGCTTCATTTTCCCTCTGGAACCCTGTGGCTGCTCTCTGGTCTACTGATCTCCTCTCTGAGCTGTGATAGTCGAACGTTGTCATGGAAGGCCGATAGGTCGGATCGAATGATCTGTCCTCAACAAAGTCTTTGCGCCATGGAGGCATAGCTTTCTGACGAATCAACTCTGTTGCTTCACCTCGGCTGAGCGTTTCTTGATGTGGATCAAAAGTCATTGCTTCATTTCGCCTGATCTGCTCGCGCCGTGGATCTACGTGAGTTGATCCTTCACGATCATCAATACGACGAAGATTTGGTGGCAAACCGTCTCGCCGGATTTCCTCGCGATGAGGATCTACTAGATTGTTTCCAACCTCCTCACCGTGATGTGCTGCATCAGTACGTGCACCTTCTTCTCCTACCGGGAGTGGTCGTGGAATTACTGGAGCTTCTTGACGCTGCATTTCAGTCCTTATATCTGCATTTTCTCTCCAGAGAGCTTCGATCATGTTCATCAACTCATCAAGTTTCACTTGCTGGACGTTCTCAACCGTATTAGAGTTGTCACCCCCTATCATGATTCCGGATCGAAGCAAAGGCATGAATTACGAACTCCGAAACAGATCTAGGCGTTACCGATGCAAACTCCGTTAGATCTGGGCTTAACTTCACCGAATCGTGATCACTGTTTGCTAGATCTGAACTTTTCTAGCTTCAAACTCATCGGATCTGACTGCAATTGAGCAAATCACAATTGCGTCATTCCGAAGCAAATGCCTCAGAATCCACAATAAGCAAGAATTCTCTCTGAACAAACTACAATCTCACTGATCTGGATTCAACTTCCAGAAACCACACTGCGTACTCACAAACTCGATTGAACTAATATGGTACTGATCGGGCTCGAATTGATCTTCGTCCTCGATTCCCACAGACGGCGCCAATTGAAGATACAAGATTTCACTTCTTCTCTCTTTTCCTATCTCTCTCTCTCTCTAGAATTTTTTCTCCCCCCTTTTCCACCTGTCTTGGTCTATTATTGCTGTTAACTGATTACATTGGGCCTATATTCAAAAGTTTTCTTCCTTCTGGGCTTGATCTTCCAATGGGCTTGACCTTTCTCGGTGGATCCCCCAGGTTCGGCCCATTCCAGGGCGCTTTGGCATGGATCCTACTTTAATCGTTTGACCCGATCCCGTTCCAGCGAACTATATCCGGCCCATGCCACTTGCTGCATCCTCAATTATCCTTCATTTTCAGTTGTGCTCGGGCCTAATGAGAGTACATACACAAGGACAGTGACAAATGTGGGTGAGGCTAGTTCATCCTACAGTGTTGAAATTATTCCACCTCCAGGTGTTTATGTGACTGTGAAGCCTAATAGGCTTGACTTCACCGAGGTCAACTAGCAGATGACATATAGTGTGACATTTAGCCTATCAACTGTGCAAGGTAGCCCCTCTATTATTCAAGGATTTCTGCAATGGGTTTCTGCTAAGCGTGTTGTTAAAAGTCCAATCAACGTTATGTTTGAGTGAGAAGGTAGAAGTGGTTCCAGAAAACAAGTAGGGCCAAGATATTTTTAAGAGTAACAATTTGTTTCAGTATTGTGATTTTGTGATGTGAAATGTGAATTACATATATTGTATTGAATAACTGATTATCTGCATTCAATTGTCTTAAACGATTGAGAACGACGAGAAAATAATTCAAATTGATCATTTGAACTTTGCGAACTTTGATTGATTTATGAAATTCTATATAAAAGGATTGTCCTCAATATTTAAACTGAAAGCTGAGAAGGTATAGCTAGTTGGGTGACCTTTGAACCCAAGTGTGTCTGATGTTAAATTCGTTGAAGTGGTTGCATGAGTATTCATCTAAATGAAGGGGGGGAAATGAGGAGAGTATTTTTTTTGATAATTAAGAGAGAGTAGTTTTAACTTGAGAAGAGCTGATCTAGCTCCAACTGTCATTCTAGAAGGAAGGACTAGGACAAAATAAAAAAGTTAAAATCTTATGAGATTGAATAGAACATAATAGGAAAGGCAATATATCCTTTCCTTCTCCCTCCAATTTACCATTCATTTTTTTTTTTTTTCATTTTTGTATTAGTGTTAAATTCTCACCCTAACTCCTTAAGCTGCTATGAAATCCAAAACACCATAAAATCCCTAATACTATGTGTGAAAGCACTGAATCAGCGCCTTGAATTTGGGATTGGAAGAAGATTAGTTCAAAATTTATATCAAATTTTCTCCAATCCCAAATCCAAGATGCAGATTTGGTGCCGCCAAACATAGCATTAAGACCTTTGAGGGGGCAAGGACAAGCCACTTGGCTACAGAGGATTACAAAATTGATTAATTCTTTTAAGCTATGTTTAAAATATGACAGCAGACATTCTTCTAGTCTCAAAAGACACCTACACCAGTATGAGAGTAATATTTTGTTTACAATTAATTGTGTTATTTACTGAATAGATTAAGCTAGCAGACATTTCCAAGTGTTAATTTAAAAATAAGAAAACAAGCCGTCCTTCAAAACTTCCAATAAGACCTCTTCTATTTACAGGGTAGTGCCGTCTTGTGGGAAGAACCATTTTTTTCCATCCAAGAATAACATTGTTCTGCAACGGAGAGATTAAAGTCTTTCACAAGCATCTTAACCTGAAAATTTGTTAAAATCCAATTAAACAATCGCGCCTGCAACAGTCCTAGAAGCAAATTTCACAAAGAACTTCCATAATTCACATGGCAGCAACAATAGTTCAACTGTCCGTTTTAGGTTGAAATTCATAGAACCATTTCCTTCAAAGAGAAAAATTACAAGCAGTTAATAGGGACCATCTTGACTGAAAGTTCACACTAGCCAAAAGAGCTTCCAATACTTTCTTCGCCAAATAAGTTACCAGACCTCGAGTCCTGTTCAAAGGATTGAAGTACAAATTAACTCCAAACCCAAACAAGCTTGTACGGATTGGTAGAACTTCCCAATACAAGTTGCCCCTTTTCTTTTTGTTTTTGTTTTGATAAGTAAAATTTTATTAAGAATGCGCTTAAAAGGGGAGCGAAACCCAAAAACAAAACAAAAGGCTAAGGAGCGCCTCAAGCCTTCAAAGAGGGCCAAAAAAACAATAATCTCCTCAACAAATCTATAATCTCTGTGAAACCCAACAAAAAAGAGTGAAAATAATGGATAACTTAAGCATAGAAATAAGCTTCTCCATTCCATTGAAATAACGCCGATTTCTCTCGAGCCAAATGCATCACCAAATACAAAGAGCCGTAGCCCTCCAAGCGTCCAGAATGAGAGCCCCCAATACAAGTTGTTCCTTATGCACTCCACAACTCAAAACCCTCAAAATTGGACATCCAAAGATGAACCTATATATTAATTTTTATGTCTAAATCTACAAACAGTGCACAAAATTGGACATCCAAAGATGAACTTTTGACTCTTATGTCATCTTGGTGAAGCACTTGAGGGGATGGTGTGAGTCCATAAAACCATGCCAATGACAAAATTCACTTCAAGTTCTGGAAAATTTTCCATCTATGCAACTGTTACCAGAAAGGAACACGCCAGCAAAACATTGTTGCCTGAGCTATTTGATGCAACCGTTAAAATCTTCCATGTGAACGTTAAATGGCATGCAACCAAACATCTCCAAGTAAAAATCATGTCATCGACATATGGATAAGGAATTTCAATTAGAAGAAAATCACTATTCGAAAGAAAAATCAGAAAAATATGGTATATTGGATATTAGTCAAAAGTTCTCTAAATAACTCAACATAGTTTCCTAATTACAGGTGCAGGACTAAGTCAATTCCTGTTGCTCGGCTGGGTATATAATCCTGACCTTTCCTGATGTAGCATGTAATATTAGGGTCCTACTGTGTGGAGTAGTGGTTGTCTCCATACCAGATGTCGAATCCAGGGGAAAATTGATGACAGTTCAAAAGATGAAAGAAACTCAAAAAGGGTATTTAACCATTTTGATCTTTTACCTCTACCAGTAACAATCACTGCTGATATTGCCACTTTATTACCAATCACAGCATGCTACATCTCAGTACAAGCACAAAATCCACAAAAACGATCGGCAAAATGCTCCTGGTTTTGGTCATATCATCAGTCAAATTGGTCATCTTATTATATAGAAACAGACAAGAACAGAAGAACAATTTAAAATACATCATCCTTTAAAATATCCATTAACATATGGCCATTGCCGTCTTAAGAGTATACGGCATCAATTTAAACAAATCCTCAAGGCCATACCATTATGCTTTTTTAACAACACTTCAATTAACACTTTGCATAAAATCACATGGAGATGCCGGCCATCTTTCCAACATAACCCCCCTTTATATATCTTGGTGCAACTACCAAATACAAAAGCAAAAGGAACTCCACATAGCTTCCCGCCTTTTTCTTGATGAAGTGTAAATCATTACCAAACATGGCTATCATCCCACTCCTCACTCTCATTTTTATGTTTAATTTATCTCCTCAGTCTGCCAAGGGAAGTGAATTTCCATCTACAGTTGAAATAAATGAGGTTAGCAAATTACAAACTTACATCATCCACGTAAAGCAACAAGAGGGAAAAGTTTCCACCCTATCTGACGAGCTAAAGAGCTACCATCAGTCATTTCTGCCTTTTGGTACTGCAGCCTCAGACAATCAACAACGGTTGATTTATTCATACCGACATGTGATCAGCGGTTTCGCTGCAAGACTGAATGAGGAGGAAGTGGAAGCAATGAAAAAGAAGGATGGATTTGTTTCAGCAAGTCCTGGGAGGATGGTACGGTTGCAGACAACACATACACCCGCCTTCTTGGGATTGCACCAGGAAATGGGGTTCTGGAAAGAATCAAATTTTGGGAAGGGTGTAATAATTGGAGTGCTGGACACTGGGGTACTGCCTAGCCACCCCTCTTTTAGTGGTGATGGAATGCCATCACCTCCTGCTAAATGGAAGGGGAAGTGTGAGTTCAATGCATCATATTGCAACAATAAACTTATTGGTGCAAAGTCATTTGATATTGCAGCCAAGGCCAACACGCGAGTGCAAGCTGAGCCACCACTTGATGATGATGGGCATGGGACCCATACAGCAAGCACAGCTGCAGGAGGCTTTGTCAAGAATGCTGATGCACTAGGAAATGCCAATGGCACAGCAGTCGGGATGGCGCCTTATGCTCATTTGGCAATTTACAAAGTGTGCTTTGGACCAGATTGTGCGGATGTCGATATTTTAGCAGGGCTTGATGCTGCTATTGATGATGGTGTTGATGTGCTCTCGATCTCTCTCGGTGGAGATTCAGTTCCATTTTTTGAGGACAACATTGCAGTAGGTGGATTTGCAGCAATTCAAAAAGGAATATTTGTAAGCTGTGCAGCAGGAAACTTTGGCCCTTTCAATAGCAGTCTATCAAATGAGGCACCATGGATTCTAACTGTTGGAGCGAGCACTCTTGATAGAGTCATCAGAACCACAACAATGTTAGGAAACGGGGAAGAATTTGATGGTGAGTCCTTGTTCCAACCAAGCGATTTCCCACCAACATTATTGCCTCTGGTTTATGCTGGCATGAATGGCAATTCAGATGCTGCATTGTGCGGTCCTGGATCGTTTAATAACACTGATGTGAAAGGAAAGGTAGTCTTGTGTGAGAGAGGTGGCGGGATAGCAAGAATTGCCAAAGGCCAAACAGTGAAGGACGCCGGTGGTGCCGCCATGATTCTCATGAATGAGGAGCCTGATGGCTTTAGTACGGAAGCCGACGCCCATGTTCTTCCTGCGACGCATCTGAGTTTTGCTGCAGGACTGAAGATCAAAGCCTATATAAACTCAACTTCAATGCCTACAGCTACAATCTTGTTTAAAGGAACTGTCATTGGAGTAGATTATGCTCCTAGTGTTACTTCCTTCTCGTCAAGAGGTCCTAGCTTGGCAAGCCCAGGCATTTTGAAACCGGACATTATCGGTCCTGGTGTGAGCATTCTAGCTGCATGGCCATTCCCTCTTGAAAACAATACCAATACAAAATCAACATTTAACGTAATTTCGGGCACCTCAATGTCATGTCCTCATCTCAGTGGCATTGCGGCATTGCTCAAAAGTGCACACCCATATTGGTCGCCAGCAGCCATTAAGTCTGCGATCATGACCACTACTGATCTGCTAAACCTTGACAACAAAGCCATTGTCGATCAAACTATGCTTCCAGCTGACGTCTTAGCCACTGGTGCAGGTCATGTAAACCCATCAAGAGCCAATAATCCAGGGCTCATATATGACATCAAACCTGATGATTACATACCTTACTTATGTGGTTTGGGTTACACAGACCAAGAGGTGGGGGTAATCGCACACCGTACAGTGAAGTGTGCCAAAGAGTCAAGCATACCCGAAGCACAGCTAAATTATCCTTCATTTTCTATTGCACTTGGACCTAGTGATCAGACATACATGAGGACAGTGACAAATGTTGGCGAGGCTACATCATCCTACACTGTTGAGATTATTCCACCACCTGGCGTTGATGTGAGTGTCAAGCCCGATAAACTCGACTTCAACGAGGTGAACCAGAAGATGACATATCAAGTGACATTTAGCAAATCAAATGCTAGAATAAAGACCCCCTTTACTCAAGGATTTCTAAAATGGGTGTCTGCTAAGCACTTTGTTAGAAGCCCAATCTCTGTTAAGCTGGCATAATGAAAAGGTGCCAGAGGTTCTGGGAAAGAAGTAAACTTAAGTTTCCTAAACCAAAAAAGAAGCCCAATCTGTGCTTAGTTGGAGTAAAGAAAAGGTGGCAGAGATTCTGGCAAACAAGTAGTTTTTAAATTTCCGAGACCAAAAATATTTACTTTGACATCATGATTGTGTAATGCGAACTGTTGTCTGAATTGCATACACTGTCTTGAATAACTAATTGTCTGAATTGGAGCCTTGAATGAATGAAAACAACAAAAAATTGCGCAAATAGATCACATGGACGTTTGCTAACTTTGATAAATGAAAATCAATTGAAAAAGGGATGTTCACAATATTTAGAACAAAAAATTATCTATGTTGCATTATGTATCAATTTTTTGTCATTTCATGGCTGCAAATATCAAAAAAGGTAAATGATAGACAAATTTTTACTTTCACTTTTTACCTTGACTTAACTTGTCATGATTTGTTGTAAAGCTCTCCATGTTTGGATTCAAATACCCAAGCATAGAAAACAAATTAAATTTTGTTATTGAAAAATAGGGTTCCGAAAGACCTATTCAGCCCTCCCCTCTTGGTGTACTTGGGACACAGTCACACAGTGCAATTTAACGTATCAGAGCCAGGGATTCTATTGAGAGAGAGAGAGAGAGAGAGAGAGAGAGAGAGAGAGGTTTCTATTATGCAATTCAATTTTCAAGTCCAAGAGTTGTATACTTTTAGGAAATATATATCAACAACCATGAATTAGAATGAGGTAGGACATGGTCTAAGGCAATGCGAATGAATTTTTGTATATGTCTCTCTCTTTTTTGCGTGTTCAGCTAGGAACTTAAACTCCTTCCCAAACTTTCATACTAACTGCATAACTGAAAATATTCACAACATTTAAGCACATATAGAAAACATATCTTTGTAAACTAGCTAAAACAATAGAAACCACCACCTTCGCTTCAAAGCACCAAACTTGTCTGTTAATGATTGGATAAGTTCTGTTCCAAGATTTCTTTATTGAAATCCAATGTTTACCACTCACTTCAAGAAATAACAATGTCTTATTTAGGGCAAAAAGAATGTTAGTTAAGGTCATAAGAGTTTTATTGGCATGATGAATCCTGGAAAGCAACTCCTAATTTCAAATTCTAGTAGTTAGAAATATTTATCTAAAATTTGAAGAAGGCATTTGAAGGATGATAAAAGCAAAAACAACGCGAACAGCAAATCCAAATTCAATGTGGTCATCCCCATAGTATTCAAATCGCTTGATTACAATGAGGGTGCCCTTATCTTCTAACAAGCTCTCCCATTCACTTGGCATAATTTTGGGTGGGAAAGGAAACCATGCACACCCCAGATTATCACATTATTACCAAAATTGGTCCTTCTAGCATAAATTGAGCTCATAACTTTGATCAAGTGTCGTTACGGCTACATGGAATTGCAGCATTGGAATTGGAATTTGTAGAATTGAAGAAATTTTTGATGTAATTTTAAACTAAATTTTTCTTCAATTTCACTCATTTCAATTTAAAAACGCCAATTCACCAATTTCAATTCCAAGACTCTAATTCCACGTTAAAAAAAGCTTATTCATTGGAATTTGGAGCAAAGTACCTAATCCTATGACTTGCAACGACTTTAGGAATCTAATCTCACATAATCGACCGGAAAGCTCACAGAAGTTCACATTGTAATTTGTATTTGTGGGTCATGCTAAAAAAAAATTCCTCTTTTTTTACTTTTTTATTATTTATTTTTTCTCAATTTCTAATAAGAATATGCTAATGGTTACCATGTGAGATGCATAACAGTTTACATAAAGCTACAAAATCTAAATCCAATGCATCAGAAAGAAAACTACCCAAATAAATTAAAGTTTTAATCCCAGAGAAGGAAGAATTATAGTCTCATTTTCAGTTAAAAACTTTCTGGGTAAATTTTCCCAAAATAAAAGTAAGAATAATTATAATACCAGGGCACTTACGTTTTCCTTGGGCTTGCGGATGATCCTCTAGCTTCGATATTCGTTAGTCTGCAGTGCCACTTATCTTATAAGAAACCCCACCACCGTTTTTCCATTACTGTACCAAATTACTACTAATATATGTGTGTGCATATATATATATATGTCGCACACGCGGAATTATAGAAGAAGACTTTGAACAGGCCCAACAGGACGGGCTTGAGTTGGGTTTAGAAGAGAATGAGCCATTGTCCAATGTTTTTATTTTGATAACTGGGACCCAATCCAATGTTGTTTGGGCCAGACTTAGCTTGAAACCTTGAACATCAACTTTTTATTTGAAAGTCACCCCTTGATTGAAATTACCATTCTACACCCATGGTTCAAGTTGGATTTTGCAAATGTGGTGACTTGGGGGTTGGTTTGATGTAGACAACTCAAAAAATTTCTCTTATTGAGAAAGTGAATTTTGCTGTAAAATTTCATATTCTTCCCGCAACAAAATAGCATTTTATTTTTATTACTTTTCCTTCTTAATATTACTCGTATTTCTTTTGAAGCCTTGTGTTGCTTTTATTCAATTAACCATTGCGAGTTTGGTACCGTAATTTTAAGGTCACAATAAAGCAACTTTATCATTGCGTTAAGGCTTTTAATTTCATGATCCTTTTATCTTCCTTTGAGATTTAAGTATGGAGTTTAAAGGTGTAATCTTATTGCAATCTGTCGGGCCGGGGAATTTGATGGTTTGGACATAGGTAAAAATTTGATTTAAATGTGGTCCAATTGGGTGTGAAAATATTCGAATTTAATTTAGTTTGCTTATAGGGTGAGTTGAGAAGTGCAATTGGGTAAAGGCATTCCCTTAAGTCGTGTGAAAATTCATATTCGACTCACCCCATCCTCCCCTCTCCCTCCTTGTCAGGTAAAAAATATATATGTATAGTTCACTCATAATTTGTGTATCATTTCTAAATTGCAATTTTAAAGATCAAGGAATTTGGTGTTTTTTGGATAGAATGAAATTAGATATGAAACGTGTTTAATATCATTTTAGTTTGCTTATAATTTAGATTTTGTTGTGATGGCAATAAATTGTCGGAATTGATGTGCTTGGCTGTACCAAATTATGATTGTTTTTTTGCTTAATTAACCATTATAATAAGAAGACAATTTTGTTGTGAAGAAAATAATTCGTCAGAAATGATGTGCTTAGGTGTAATCAATTATGATTAAATTTTTGTTGAAAGTTTAGGAAAAGTTGTCCTTAATACTGTTTAAATAGTTAACTTTTATTAAATTATTAGTCAATAACAAATGTCGTCAGCATTTTTCTCTCAAGTAACACAAGAATTAAGCCATTTTTGTCTACAGCAAGTGAGGGGGACAATTCCCCCTCCCCCTCTGAATTTTTAACTTTTTATTAATATACCATGCTATTTTTTCTTTTTTTTTTTTAATATATACTCCTAAAATATTGTTAACTTCCTTAAATTATTACAAAATTTCAACCTTTCTCCCTCCTTACCTAAAGTTCTAGGTCCATCTCAGTCTACAGTAAAAAGTTTACAATTTTTAATTCCATTATCTTATGAATAAACAATTCGCAACAATTTATTTTCCCCAATTAACTAACCTTTAATTTATAATTTTTCATTTTAGAAAGCAATTAGCAACAATATTAACTAACAAGTGTCATCACTAAATCATATTCACCCTCAAGTTTATTCCATTTAATGGTATTGGACACATAAATTCTATTTTGTATTACTTTTTTTTACAAGTCTATGTCTCCAATTTTTTATTCTCTTTGTTTCTTACTAAACGTGTAGACAAATATTTTATTTATTGCTGGTACATCAACAAGTCTACATTGTACATGACCCTAACTCTTAATTCTACTTCCAAAATACACTCCAAGACTTCCTAGTTTCCAACTCATTCATCTCCTCATTCTCAATGTCTCATTATTCTTGTTTCTTTGTTAATCATCAATATTCTGCTCCACATTGTAAGAAATAACCATCTTATAAAATTTTGCTTTTAACTTACTTAATATTTGGCTAACTTGTCTACATTTTGTTTAATCCACTCAAATTTTACTTATTAGATTATTTGTGGGATAAAAGGGTTTGACAAATTTTGTTGTTTATGATTAAAATTTAAGACTTTATAATTTATTACTTTTTGACAAGGAAATTATGCCTAGCAGTATTAGATCTTTACTTTCTAAAGGGAAGTCAGGGGTTCAAGTCTCAATAAAGGTATGTGTGTGTGAGCATCATTAAAAAAAAAAAAAAAAAAAAAAATTATGCCTTATGAGTTATGATTGCTAATAATTTCAACTTCTTCCCAAATTAAGTGGTCTATGTGTTAATTAATATATGGAAAAACAAATTTTAATTATTTTTTATCAAAACACTAATTATGGTCTGATTGTTGGTTGCCTATTGGTCTTCTTTGTAAAATGGCCACTTGAAATGGCCTGTTAGTTCTCTCCCTTCTATGATGGAGATACATTCGGACGGAATTCCTCTTTGTTTCAAGAAAGGATCCCATGAACAGTGTTAAAATTCTATGAACGGTGTTGATAGGGAGTTAGAAAGTCGAACTGATAAGGGTCACGTCCCCACTCATTGTGATCCTTTTGAATCTATTCCATTACCTGGACTCTAAATCATTTTCCTTTCATAAAACCCTTCTCCGTCAAGGAAGCATCAACACCATTAGACCTTCAAGGAGCAACATTGATTCGCACCACATAATTAGGTTCAAAGGATATACAAGGATGTTTATTTAGAAAGCTGCCTTTTTTTTTTCTTTTTCTTTCTTTTTTTTTTTTTTTTGTAGAATTAACACAAATTGAAACTCTTAATTTAGTACCCAATCTTCTTGAATTGTCCTGTTACTTGCAGAATTTGAGACTCTTTGGGTGGATCAATGCCCTAATAGTTCTATCCAAGCAATCAAACCTCAAGAGCAAAACTCTAAAATGCCAAGTGAACATTACAGGACTCTGCTGGCTACTGGTTAATTACTACTACTAGTGCTTATAAGTCACTACATTTGGGTGGAGAGGAATACCAGACTCCATATATTTTAAACCTTTTAAGGATGTGGTCTGTATTCAAAACTTAACATGGTAAGTTTACTGCTATTAGTAACAATGACTGCTGATATTGCCACTTTATTACCAATCACAAAATGCTACATCTCAATACAAACACAAAAACAATGACTGCTGATATTGCCACTTTATTACCAATCACAACATGTTACATCTCAATACAAACACAAAATCCACAAAAAGGATGGCCAAATGAAGATTATTGCACATGATATCATCAGTCAAATTGATCATTTTATTATATAGACTCTCAGACAAGAACAGGAGGACAATTAACAATACATCATCCTTTAAACAATCCATTAGAATATGGCCATTGCCGTCTGAAGAGTGTGGCTTCAATTTAAACAAATCCTGATGGACCATACCATTATGCTTTTTTTAGCTACACTTCAATCAAAACACTTGCATAAAATGACATGGAGACGCCGGCCATCTTTCCAACATAACCCCCCTTCATATATATCTTGGTGCAACTACCAATTACAAAAGCACAAAGAACTCCACATAGCTTCCCTCCTGCTTCTTGATGAAGTGTAAATCATTACCAAACATGGCTATCATCCCACTCCTCACTCTCGTCTTTATGTTTAACTTGTCTCCTCAGTCTGCCAAGGGAAGTGAATTTCCATCTGCAGTTGAAATAACAGATAATAGCAAGTTACAAACTTACATCATCCATGTAAAGCAGCCAGACGGAAAAGTTTCCGCTCAATCTGAGGAGCTAAAGAGCTACCATCAGTCATTTCTGCCTTTTGGCGCTGCAGCCTCAGAGAATCAACAACGGTTGATTTATTCATACCGACATGTGATCAGCGGTTTTGCAGCAAGACTGAATGAGGAGGAAGTGGAAGCAATGAAAAAGAAGGATGGGTTTCTTTCAGCAAGTCCTGGGAGGATGGTCCAGTTGCAGACAACACATACACCCCACTTCTTGGGATTGCATCAGGAAATGGGGTTCTGGAAAGAATCAAATTTTGGGAAGGGTGTAATTATTGGAGTGCTGGATACTGGGGTACTGCCTAGCCATCCCTCTTTTAGTGGTGATGGAATGCCGCCACCTCCTGCTAAATGGAAGGGGAAGTGTGAGTTCAAGGCATCCTACTGTAACAATAAACTCATTGGTGCAAGGTCATTCAACATTGCAGCCAAGGGCAACATGCGAGTGTATGCTGAGCCACCACTTGATGATGATGGACATGGGACCCATACAGCAAGCACAGCTGCGGGAGGCTTTGTCAAGAATGCTGATGTACTAGGAAATGCCAATGGCACAGCAGTTGGGATGGCGCCTTATGCTCATTTGGCAATTTACAAAGTGTGCTTTGGACCAGATTGTGCAGATATCGATATTTTAGCAGGGCTTGACGCTGCTATTGATGATGGTGTTGATGTACTCTCGCTCTCTCTCGGTGGAGGTTCAATTATGTTTTCTGATGACAACATTGCAATAGGTGCATTTGCAGCAATTCAAAATGGAATATTTGTAAGCTGTTCAGCAGGAAACTCGGGCCCTGTCAATAGCAGTCTATCAAATGAGGCACCGTGGATTCTAACCGTAGGAGCAAGCACTCTTGATAGAGTCATCGGAGCAACAGCAAAGTTAGGAAACAGGGAAGAATTTGATGGCGAGTCCTTGTTCCAGCCGAGCGATTTCCCACCAACATTATTGGCTCTGGTTTATGCTGGCATGAATGGCGATTCATATGCTGCATCGTGCAGCCCTGGATCGCTTGATAGTAATGATGTAAAAGGAAAGGTAGTCTTGTGCGAGAGAGGTGGGGGAATAGCAAGAATTGACAAAGGCCAAACAGTGAAGGACGCTGGTGGTGCCGCCATGATTCTCATGAATGAGGAGCCTGATGGCTTTAGTACGTTAGCCGATGCCCATGTTCTTCCTGCTGCACATGTGAGTTATGCTGCAGGACTGAAGATCAAAGCCTATATAAATTCAACTTCAATGCCTACAGCTACAATCTTGTTTAAAGGAACTGCCATTGGAGTAGATTATGCTCCCATGGTTTCTTCCTTCTCGTCGAGAGGTCCCAGCTTGGCAAGCCCAGGCATTTTGAAACCGGACATCATTGGTCCTGGTGTGAGCATTCTAGCTGCATGGCCATTCCCTCTTTTAAACAATACCAATACAGAATCAACATTTAATGTAATTTCTGGCACCTCAATGTCATGTCCTCATCTCAGTGGCATTGCAGCATTGCTCAAAAGTGCACACCGTCATTGGTCGCCAGCTGCCATCAAGTCTGCGATCATGACCACTGCGGATCAGCTAAACCTTGATAACAAACCCATTGTTGATCAAACTTTGCTTCCAGCTGACATCTTAGCCACTGGTGCAGGTCATGTAAACCCATCAAAAGCAAATAATCCAGGACTTGTATATGACATCAAACCTGATGATTACATATCTTACTTATGTGGTTTGGGTTACACAGACCGAGAGGTGGGGATAATCGCGAGCCGTTTAGTGGAGTGTGCCAAAGAGTCGAGCATACCTGAAGCACAGCTAAATTATCCTTCATTTTCTATTGCACTTGGACCTAGTGATCAGACATACACGAGGACTGTGACAAATGTTGGTGAGGCTACTTCATCCTACACTGTTGAGATTATCCCACCACCTGGCGTTGATGTGAGTGTCAAGCCCGATAAACTTGACTTCTCCAAGGTGAACCAGCAGATGACATATCAAGTGACATTTAGCAAATCAAATGCTAGTAGAAAGACCCCCTTTACTCAAGGTTTTCTAAAATGGGTGTCTTCTAAGAACGTTGTTAGAAGCCCAATCTCTGTTAAGCTGGCATAATGAAAAGATGCCAGAGGTTCTGGAAAAGAAGTAAACATAAATTTCCTAAACCAAAAAAGAAGCCCAATCTGTGCTTAGTTGGAGTAAAGAAAAGGTGGCAGAGGTTCTGGCAAAGTGGCAAACCAAAAAAAAATACATTGACATCGTGATTGTGTAATGTGAACTGTCTGAAGTGCAAGCCTTGTCTTGTATAACTATTTGTCTGAATTGAAGTCTTGAATGAATGAAAACAACAGAAAAATTATGTGAATTGATCACATGGACGTTTGGGAACTTTGATAGATTAAATTCTACTTTAAAGGGGATGTCCACACTAGTTAGAACAAAAAATATATATGTTGCATTGTATAACAATTTTTTGTCATTTCACGGCTTCAAATATCAAAAAGGTATATGATGACAATTTTTTACTTTCACTTTTTACCTTGACTTAACTCATCATGATTTGTTCTAAAGCTCTCTATGTTTGTATTCAAATAACCAAGCCTAGAAGACAAATTAAAATTCAAAAAGTTGTTATTGACAGATAGGATTCCATAAGACCTATTCACCCCTCCCTTCTAGGTTTACTTGGGACACAGTGCACTTTGACATATCAGAGCCTTGGGTTCAATTAGGGGAGAGAGAGAGAGAGTAAAGGGTTCTATTATGCAATTCAAGTTTCAAGTCTAAGAATTGTATTCTTTGAGAAGAGATATACCACAACCATGAATTAGAATGAGGTACGACATGGTTTAAGGCAATGCAAGTGAATTTGTTCATATGTCTTCTTCTTCTTCTTCTTTTTGTTTTTTGTTTCGTGTGTGTGAGAGTTCAGCTAGGAACTTAAACTCTTTCCCAAACTTTCATACTAACTTCGTAACTGAAAATATCCACACCATTTAAGTACATATCAAACAACATGTGTTTGTAAACTAGCTAAAACCATAGAAATCACCATTTACGCTTCGAAGCACCAAACTTCGTTTGCTTATTTGGTTGGATAAGTTCTGTTTCAAGATTTCTACTGAAATCAAATTTTAACCACTCACTTCAAGAACTAACAATGTCTTATTTGTTTCAAGATTTCTCTACTAAAAAATGAAATCAAATTTTAACCACTTACTTCAAGAACTAACAATGTCTTATTTAGAGCAAAAAGAATGTGACTTAAGGTCTTGACTCCTAACCACATGATATGATATTGTTCACTTTGGACCCGAGCTCACACGATTTTATTCTTGAGTTTCACCTCAAAAGGCTTCATGCCATTTGGAGATAGCGCGCACTAGCATATATAAGCAATTCACCTTCACCTTCGCCTTAACCAGGTGATGTAGGATTGTGCAACCTATAGCTTACCCAGTGTGATAGTCTGCCAGTGCCTCACACCCGCCCACGCACACCCGCCCCCAAGGTCGCCACAAGCAACCCCGAGGGGCCAAACGTTCCTGTTGGCCACACTTCCAGCTGAGTTCCGGCTTGAATACCACTTGTAACAATTCACTCCACCACATGATATGATATTGCCCGCTTCGGGCCGAGCCCACACGGTTTGTTCTTGAGTTTTACCCCAAAAAGTCTTATTGATGGCATGATTGAATTGTAAGAGTTTTGATGGTATGATTGAATTCTGAAAAGTTACTCCTAAATTTGAATTCTAGTAGTTAGAAGGCAATGTATTTATCTAAAACTTAAGGATGTTTGCTACAATAAGCATTCGAAGGGTGATAATAGCAAACACAACGTCAACAGAAAATCCAAATTCAATGTGATCATCCCCTTCAGTATTCAAATCGCTCAATTACAATAAGTATAAGGGCGCCCTTATCTTCGAACAAGCTCTGTCATTCACTCGGCCTAATTTTGGGTGTGAAAGAAACCATGCGCAGCTCAGATTATCACATTATTAACCCAAAATTGGTCCTTTTAGCATCAATTGAGCCCAAAACTTTGATCCATGTGTCTTTACTTGAACAGAGTATAGAGAAAGCTCATTCATTGGAATTTGAAGCAAGGTACCTAATCCTATGACTTGCAATGATTTTAGCAATCTAATCTCAGATAATCGTCCGGAAAGCTCACAGAAACTCAAATTATCGGTCATGCTAAAAAATTCCTGTTTATATATATATATATATATATATATAATTTAATTTTTTTCAATTTCTAATAATGATATGCTAAGAACAAAAAAATGTAAGATGCATAACAATTACCATAAAGCTACCAAATCCAAATCCAATGCATCAGAAAGAAAAGTAACCAATTAAACAAAAGCTTTAATCCCAGAGTAGGAAGAATTGTAGTCTCATTTTCAGTTTAAAATTTTCCGGGTAAGATTCTAGAAAAGTTACAAAATGGGAAAAAACTGAAAATAATAATAATTATAATAACAGGGCGCTTAAGTTTACCTTGAGCTTGATGTTGAGGCGAAGCAAAGCCTATAAAAATCGCCATCATCCTTTAGCTTCGATATACACAATTAGTCTGTGTCCACTGATCTTGTAAGTCGTACTTAACCCACCACCGTTTCCCATTACTATATTACATAGTGAGAAATAATGAAGACAAGAAGACAAAGGCCCACGATTACTCCAGACCCAATCCAATATTGTTTGGGCCAGACTTGACTTGGCTCGAAAATTATTCAAAGGTTTTGAAAATGTGTTTTGAAATTTAGCTATGATGGGCAGTCCCGAATTTTGAAGTGTCCAACGTGGCCGAGTGGCAGTCCAAAATATCACATGAAGTATTTAGAACTTTGGATGCATCGACCGAGGTGATGCGAGTCTCCTCTCACATTGTCATACGGATCCAGGGGTGGGCTCAAGCCCACCCCCAAAAAAAAAAATATTTATTATACCAAATTTTAGCCCAGTAAAAAAAAAAAAAAAAAATTATTACTACTATTAACCCACCCAAAAAAATATTAGCCCACCCCGATTCGCCCTTGTTGCATGTGTTTAAATTAGGATGATGTGTAGAGACTATGAAAAGTAGCCTAGTGATACTCCTTTGTCTTATTTTTTTAATTATAAATTTTTAGGAAACCCCCTTGAAGTATTGGTCATTTGCAACCCTCCTGAACTACAATTTACCCCCTTGAACTATTAAATTTTTGCAATTAACCCCCAATGTGACATCTCTGGCCAATTGATTATAACGAAAATAGTGAAAGACAATTTTACCCCTATATAAAACTACGTCGTTTCACTAAAAATTTCAACAACCGTCATTTGCTGAACAGCTCCTATTAGACATCTTCGGTCGTTGATAAAGAAGACGTTATATCTATATATCGATCTCCATCTCCACCTCTATTGCAACTATCGACCGTTACAAGTCATCGGCAGCGGCGGCCGTAAATATATGCAACAAAACCCACCGGCAGCCAAATTGCTCACCACCACCATTTCGCTCCCCAACCACCAATAACAAATACCATATTTCGGCAAATTAACCACCACCACAACTTGTGTCGTCACCACTGCCATCCTCACCCACAACCACTACATTAGACCACCATCGTGGCGGTCGCTACAAATCGTTTAGGTAAATGACCACCACATCTACACAACAAAACCACCACAGTCAAATTGGCGTCGCCACCACATTTGCACAGCAAAACCAAACACAGCCAAATCGGCGTCGTCATCATTGTAATATTTTTTTTTTTTTGCCATTTTTCATTTTCTGAAATTTTCTGATTTTTTTTTTCGGGTTTACTTTCGTTTTGTCTCGTTTTGCGTGCCAAAAACCGTGGGCTGTGCCGAGTGTGTCAGAGTGTTGATTAGGGCATTTTCTTAAATTAAGGACTCTTGGAAATGTATTGGTTGCCATTTCGACTTTTTTTTTTTTTTTTCGGGCCGAGAAGTTCCAAGTGGGACCCATTACTGGGGTCGTTATGCAAGGGGGTTGTGTCACGGGTCCATTGCATTTCATGTATTGTTCTTTTGTGCATAAGTTAATTATTTAAATGCTTATTGTGATTGTAAAATGAATTGTTATATATATATATATGTTAAATGTATTATTTGTTGCCGTGGGCCCCACAGGGGCTTTAGTCATTGTAATGGGTCATTACAAACTTGACTTTCTTTCTCTCTCCACGCGGTTGCCTTCTCTCTTCCTCCGCTTTTTATTTTTCTTTTTTCATTTCACAATTTCAAGCTTCAATTATTCTCTCATCTTTTAGAGTTTTTTTGGTGCCGTTTGCGGCAAAACGGAGAGCACGGCGAGATCTACTCATTGATGTAAGCAATTTATCATTTGGTGCATCCTATGAATTTTGAATTTAGGACCCATTTTGGGGGTTTTTGCATCTTAAGAGGTGGAAGTCTCTAATCCATAATCTTCTTGTACTTTTGTGAATTATCTTGCATAAATTGTTACCTAGCATGTTTAATTTGTATAAATTCTTGCAAAAAATTACTTAAATGTTGTATATGGAATGTTTAATTATGTGTTGAATATTGTGTTGTGATTGAGCATTCTTGTATGGACTACAATTCATGTTTTATAAGCTTATCATGCTAGATTATTGTTGAATGAAAGCATGTACATATATTTTTTTATTATTTACTTGTAAAGCATGCTATGCGGTTTAAGTTGAATTAATTGTATGAAAATGAGTATTGGCATGGTATGAAAAGGCATAATGCATTTCATGCATAACCATTGGGCAAGGAAAATGGAAAAGTTATTTTGAAATGGAATGAAAAAAGTTTTGGGAAAAAGTTTTGAAAGGGTTTGCGAAAATCCGGCCGCCTAGGAGTTGCCTAGGGACCGCGGAGTTAGTGAGGCCTAGAGGGAATTGAGGAGATTTTCCTAACGTGGTTAAGTTACCTAGGCCCCAAATGATGCCATGGAGTTATCATGGGTCAGGGACAGTTAACCAATCCTTCTTGCGTGCCGCCATGGAGTTGCTAAGGGACGGGTTACACTAACGGTTTGGAAATGATGACGGAAAAAGTTTTGAAAATGGGGAGCGATATTACATGACATTGCATTCCATAGCA